TATTTAATTTTAGGCCCGGATGTAATTTAAAATTACCGCTATATCACACCAAGTGCCCAACAATATCACAGTTTTCAAAGCATATCTTTATATTGCCAGCTGATTAGGCACCCCACATATTATTACCCCAGTTTGCCAAGCATATTAATACTCTTAAACCACAGCAGTTACTAGCAACACAATTTGCACCACAGTAATTCCTATACAGATGAATACAGCCAATGCCCAGCAATTATTTGTATCCCGGTAAGTACCTCAGTAATTCCACAGTGGTGATACTAACATTGCCCGGCACTTTTTTGTAACAGTCGGTACCACAGTGATTTCCCCAGCAGAGTAATACTACCAATGCCCAGAAGTTATTAGTAGCACAGTTAGTACCCCAGTAAATACCAGCAGATTATTACTCCCAATCCCAGCAATTTTTAGTCACACTTGTACCCCAGTAATTCAGCAGAATAATACTACTACTAATGCCCCTGCAGTTATTAGTAACAGTTAGTACCACAGTAATTACCAGGAGATTATTGCTACCACTGCACAGCCGTTATTATTGACACAATTTGTACCACAGAATTCCCAGAAGATTGTTTCTATTAATGGCCAGCAATTTTGAAATACAGTTGTTACCACAGTCCTTTCCTGCAGATTATTACTACCAGTGTCCAGCAGTTATTAGTAAAACAAATAGCACCACAGTATTTCCTAACAGATTATTGCTCCCAATACCCAGCAGTTATTAGTAACACAGTTAATACCACAGTAATTCCCAGAAGAACAATAACAAGAACACCAATGGTCAGAAGTTTAATTAGGAACACATTTGGTACCTCAGCAATTAATTATCTGCCTAATGGATGGCTTTTTATCACCCCTCAGCTTTCAGTTTACAAAAATACAATCCCTTTGCCAGACTTCTTATCCGATGTACAACTTACAACCCCACTCACTCCTGCACTTCCTTTCACACCAGCCTAACCGATCAATCAATCAATCGCTCTTTTCTAATCTGCTCACCCTTCTCAATCAGTATCTCAAACTCAATTCAATCAGTATCTCAAACTCACACTTCTCAATCACCACTCCAATTGGTCTCGCTCTGTTCCAAGCACGAGCTCCTATCACAGCTCCGGTCATCCCACCGCTCACTCCTCCTCCTCCAGTCTCGCTCCGATTCGCTCCGATTCTGATCCGAGATCTCCAGTCAAGCTCCGTTTCACTCCGGTGATCATCTTCACTCACTCCACCGCTAACTCCTCCGCTGATCACTGGTCTCTGGCCACCGATCACCAGCGACTATACCACCAGCACATGTCTGCTCGCCTAGCTCTCCCCTTGTCTCTCCTTCTGCTTCCGCAGTAAACCGACTGTACAGCACAGAACCGACTGTTCAGCACCAAGGGTTATCTTTAAAATAACAACAAACACACCTTTAGAAATGTTTAGTTATGACAATCTACTAGGGCTGGTACTGATTAAAAATTTTGTGTTCGATTAATAGACATTTTTTTTAATCGATTAATTTCGATTAATTATAATGCACATACAGATCCAACTACATTGGCCTATACACATACAGCACAGCAATGAAGTAATAAAATGAACTAGGATCACTCTAATCCAGCACGTTATTAATCTCACGTGCCCCACTCAATATGGCCGCCGCTTGAGTGGGGCAACTCAGAATAATAATGTGCTGGATTAGTGTGATCCTAGTTCATTTTATTACTTCATTACTGTGTTGTATGTGTATAGGGCAATGCCTTAGCCGGCGCTCGTGCAGAACAAGTTTCTTGGGCAAACCTCTTAGTTGTAACAAAACCGGAACTCGATAAATTCTCAGTGTCGACAGATCACCGGCCCAAGTGGCTCCGTCGGCTAACGAAGGGAAGGGGGGAGGAGATCCGGTTACGTCGATGTCCGTGACGTCACCGAATCTCCTCCCCACTTCCCTTCATTAGCCGACAGAGCCACTTGGGGAAGGGGGGAGGAGTCTGGTGACGTCACCGGATCTCCGACGGGACTCCGGGAAGACCCGGAAGCCCTGAAACTGAGCTGCAGCACGTGGCCAAGACCATACAGCGGTTTAACAGGGCAGGTTCCACTCAGAACAGGCCTCGCCATGGTCGACCAAAGAAGTTGAGTGCATGTCCTCAGCATCGTATCCAGAGGTTGTCTTTGGGAAATAGACATATGAGTGCTGCCAGCATTGCTGCAGAGGTTGAAGGGATGGGGGTCAGCCTGTCAGTGCTCAGACCATACGTCGCACACTGCATCAAATTGGTCTGCTTGACTGGCGTCCCAGAAGGAAGTCTCTTCTAAAGATGATGCACAAGAAAGCCCGCAAACAGTTTGCTAAAGACAAGCAGACTAAGGACATGGATTACTGGAACCATGTCCTGTGGTCTAATGAGACCAAGATAAACTTATTTGGTTCAGATGGTGTCAAGCGTGTGTGGTGGGAACCAGGTGAGTATAAAGACAAGTTTGTCTTGCCTACAGTCAAGCATGGTGGTGGGAGTGTCTGGGGCTCCATGAGTGCTGCCAGGACTGGGGAGCTACAGTTAATTGAGGGGACCATGAATGCCAACATGTACTGTGACATACGGAAGCAGTGCATGAGCCCCTCCCTTAGGAGACTGGGTCGCAGGGCAGCATTCCAACATGATAATGACCCCAAACACACCTCCAAGACGACCACTGCCTTGCTAAAGAAGCTGAGGGTAAAGGTGATGGACTGGCCAAGCATGTCTCCAGACCTAAACCCTATTGAGCATCTGTGGGGCATCCTCAAACGGAAGGTGGAGGAGCGCAAGGTCTCTAACATCCACCAGCTCCGTGATGTCATCATGGAGGAGTTGAAGAGGACTCTAGTGGCAACCTGTGAAGCTCTGGTGAACTCCATGTCCAAGAGGGTTAAGGCAGTGCTGGAAAATAATGGTGGCCACACAAAATATTGACACTTTGGGCCCAATTTGGACATTTTCACTTAGGGGTCTACTCATTTTTGTTGCCAGCAGTTTAGACATTAATGGCTGTGTTGAGTTATTTTCAGGGGACAGCAAATGTACACTGATATACAAGCTGTACACTAACTACTTTACATTGTAGAAATGTGTCATTTCTTCAGTGTCGTCACATAAAATAATATATAATACAATATTTACAATGTGAGAGGGGGAACTCACATCTGTGAGATACTGTAAATATCACCAGGGTTTTTGCTAGTCAAAAGTGATGTGAGATTATATAATAAAATACTGTCTATTCATTATTGCATTCCAGTGTATTTAAGTACTACGAGGAAGGTTTAACCACCTGCTGTCCGGCCATTGTAATTAAATGGCCGGACAGCAGCTTCTTGAATGCGGGTGGGCGTTTTTAAACGTCCCATCCCGCCCCGCTCGTGCCCGCCGCTAGGCAGCGCGCACAAACGGGAAAGCAGCTTTGAATGTAAACAGCCAGCGATAGCTGTTTACATACAAGCGTTCAGGCGTCTAGAGACGCCCGATCCCCTGTAATTGCGTGCGGGTGTGCGCCCCCCTCCGTCGCATCCACTGCTGGCGATCCCGAGCTCTGCTGTTCTCGGTGTGAGCCCGGGACCAGCACAGCAGCTCTGCGGCCGGAGATCAAACGGAGCTCAGTACACAAGCTCCGTTTGATCTCCTCCTCCTCTTCGGAATGCAGGAAGTGATGTGTATTACATCACTTCCTGCATTCCTCTGTCACTCTCCGTTACAGAAACCGGAGGGAAGCTGGTGAAGCAGGTCTCTGCTTCATCAGCTTCTCTGGGGGTCCCTAGGTGACATCAGGGGTCTTAAAGACCCCTAATGTCTCCATAAAGAGAACCTGTCACTGCAAATTGGCTATCACATAGGGAGCTTGTTTGCTCCCTATGTGATAGCAATAAAGTTAACTGGAAAAAAAAAGGTGTAAAAAAATTAGTTACAAAAAAAAAACAAAATTAAAAGTCACATATCCAAGCAATAAAAAAACAAAAGTAAAGCCTCCGCCCCCCACATGCACACGCAAACATGCGTTGAGTCGGCCTACGTGCGAAAACAACGAATACATCAATTGCGCCGCACATGTTACATATCGCCGCAAAGGTCGGAGTGAGAGCAATAATTTTAGGGCCATCAATCGCTGATAACACTAAACTGATGAGTGGCAAAAGCTTTTAAAGCGTCGGCTATGGTAAATTTTTGGTATGGTAGTTTTTTGCGATTTAGCAGGTGCGCGCAATTTTAAAGCTTGGCATGTTTGGTGTCTATTTACCCGACGTGATCCCTTCTTTTATATTTTACCAAAAAATTGGGTAATAATGTTTTATAACATAACAGGGAGAACAGGTTTTTCTTCAAAATGTTTGGTAGTTTTTTAATTATATAGTTAAAAAAAAACCCGTAGTGGTGATTAAATACCACTAAAAGAAAGCTCTATCTGTCCCAAAAAATGGTATAAAATTCATTTCAGTACAGTGTTGCATGACAGAATAAATGTCAGTCAAAGTACCGCAGCGCTGAATACTGAAAAATGGCCTGGCCAGGAAGGGGGTATAAACACCCCGGTCAGCAAGTGGTTAATATTCTAAAAAAAATACTTCTAAAAGTTACAGTAAACATAAAGAGGGGAATTTATTAAAACTGGAACAGACAAAATCTTGAGCAGCTGTGCATAGCAACCAATCAGCTTCTCTCTTTCATTTTCAAAGCTTAGCTGAACAAACTGAAGAGAGAAGCTTATTGGTTGCCCTTGGAACTGCTCCAGATTTTGTCTTCTCCAGTTTTGATATATTCCCCTCAATGTATATACCAGAGCTTTTCCTTCTATATTCATGAGATTTCTTATGAGGATGCAAACTCATGAAATACCATTAAAAAAAGCCAAAGTCAAAAGCAAAAGCTGATTTAGAGTGGTTGGTTATGTACAACAGGTTTTAAAACTGTCTGTAAACAATGTATCCATTCTGTTTTTTAAGTGTTTTATTCTTTCTACAGCCAAGTGAAGGGGAAGAAGAAGCTTCCCGTAAGGTAGATGATTTGCTGGAAAGTTACATGGGAATCAGGGATGTGGAATTAGGTAAGAGATGTCTTCAAACTATATATATTATATAATCTATCTGTCTATCTATCTATCTAGATAATGATTTACAATATAAGATCACTATTGCCTTGCTAAATTGACAGATTTAAAAGTTGCAAAAGGTAATTGTTCTGATCTACTGTAGGTTAGACATGTAAAGGCTCAAAAAATTCATCGGATCGATTTGTGCGGTTTTTTTTTTATTCGATTTGGTTTTTATTTGGATTGAATAAAATGTTTTGTTTTCGGTTTGGATCGATACTAATTTTTTTGTTTTTTTAGTTCGGATCCATGAAAATTTTTCATTTTCAGTTCGGATCCATGAAAATTTTTCGTTTTCAGTTTGGATCAATTCAAATCTATTTGCATGGAGTTTATTATCTTGTTAAATGTGAAAATTAAAAAAACAGTTTGCAGTCACCTCCTAAATTCACAACAGGCCCTTTAGGTCTGGTATGAATTTTAGGGGGACCCCAACGCCAAAATCCTTTAAGAGACCCTTGATCCGAGCAAAGGCCTAGCACAGCAGAAAGGGGCGACCCCCTGGCAAACCACCTTATCCCCATGTTGATGAGGTCAAGGGCCTCTTCCCCACAACCCTGGCCCAGCGGTTGTGGAGGTTAGTGAGCAATTCCAAAACAAATTGACTTTCAGATCCGAATCCTGAAAAAAGAATAAAAGAAAATTCCGGACGAAAACGAAACAAAACAAATTTTTTACCGGTGCACATCAAAAGCACAATGTTTTTCTATAAAATGTTTTTGTGTTGGAAATGCAACAGCATATGCTGATATGTACTGATTGTATTACCGGCTGCAATATGTCTTTTGAGTTATATATATATATATATATATATATATATATTTCCTGCACAATGCTGTATACATAGATGTAATGTAAGTTAATAATTCAGCATTCCTCAAGATCTCAGTATGTCATCTAAATGCATAACCAACAGGTTATGGGCCCAGGCACTAAATAGAATACTGATAGTAAAGAAGAGCCGCATCCAAGCTACTGAAAGATGGCAAGCAGTTCACATTTGAAGTTTGCAATCGCAAACCTCAACAATACAATGGAAGTTCAAGCTTGAAATGTGAAGATGACTTGTGGCAAGTACTGAGTACAGACAGGTATGTGGATTGCATTAAAAAAACTGCATGAGCGTTCAAATCTAACCAGTAAACTATAACTACTACGCAAGCTTTATAAGATGAGGCTAGATAAAGGCCAGGAAATGCGTGAACATGTGAATGCCATGCTGGAAATCGTAGAACTACAGTATGTGCAAATGTAGAGGACATTAAAGATAATCACGTTGTGGCATTACTGCTATACAGCCTTCTAGAGCCATACAGTGCTCTTATTAATGCTCTAGAAACCAGATCTGAGCAGGAACTAACAGCAGAATACGCCAAAGGAAAATGAATCAAAGAATATGACAAAAGGAAAGAAAATATGCACAATGAAGAAAACAAGAAAGCCCTTAAGGTGCATGAGAGCGCAAAACAAAACAAAGAAAGCAGAGTGTGTTTTCGCTGTAAAAAGAAATGGCCACCTGAAAACGGACTGTTCGATCTGGAAAGCTGAGCTGCAAAATAAAGAGGCACCTACAAGCGAAAGGCAGTTACAAAGGAAATTACAGGCACATCTTGGAGTGCTACCTTTAAAGTGACTCAGAACAGTATATCATACGGATTGGTGCATTGACTCAAACAAACAACAAAAGCAGCAACAAGCCACATGACTAGTGATGAGATATTCTTCACAGAAATTGGTTAAACAGTAAAACAACAAATTATATAAATGTAATCAAAATGATATAACAAGTTGTATTACAAACAATTTTTCATTCTATAAATGGACAAGTCTTCGTAGTGTTAACATATTACATAGTCTGTATCAAAACATGTCAGAATGTTTACTCTGATAAGTAAGAAGGCTGGCTATTGGCTAGTCTGAATTTGTGGGCGGAGGCTGGCTTGTAAAACGGCTGCAGTTTCTTCCTCTCTCCATCGGATCGTTTTCTGGCTGGGCTGCTCATCTTCCAAGGTCATCAGATATTCTACTTCCGGTGCAAATCGCTCGTCCACGCGTTGCTCTGTTCTCTTGTCCTTTTGCTCTATCAAGTCGGCTCCCACGTTTCTGGGGAAGGGTAAGTGGAGGCTCGCAATGGGGGGCGCGGGGGGCGCGCAGGCTGTGTCCACTCAGCATGTCACCACTCGGTCTGCGGCATAAATCGTTGCTCTCACACTGTGGTATTGTCAGCTTAGGATCACAGTGATGATTTGGATTGTTGCTGCCATCTAGTGTCCACGTCCGGTAATCGGCTTGAATTGTTCATGCAATATTGTTTTTCATCTGTGAATTGCATGCGTTTCTGACAGGTTTGAGTAGCTTGAAGTGGACCTGTCAGTGACATTAACTGTGAAACTGCATGACTGATTACTGACACGTTGCAAAATTCACATTGTCAGATCACGGGTTGTTCAGTAACAAAAAAAATTGCAATTTTTTTTTTCTATCCATTTATACATTATTTTGATTCATGGAATATATAGGTATGTTGTTTACACATTCACGGCGCTTACACCAGTACATAAGTTCTTGTCATATTCCATTTTTCACTTGGTCCATTTTCCACAAATCTCATGATACGTTCACCTGCCATGTTTCAGCAGGTTTTCATGAAGCCCTGAGTTTTCATTTATAATTGACCTGTCACGTCTCAGGTTAAGCTCGAGTTTATTTACTGATACATATCTCAGTGGAAACAGACAGCACACATCAAACGGCTACTCACGATATTATTCCACATTAGTCCACAATCTGTTAGTCGTTAATAGTGGCAGGGGCGGACTGACAACACATAAGGCCCCCGGGCAATACAAGATTATGGTGCCCCCTTGTGCTCCACCCATATAGAGGCCCCACCCACATATACATTCTTGTATTACAGAAATTATTTATCCGCACTGTTTTCAAAATAGCAGGTATATTCACTAAAAAGTGAACAGCAGGGGAATTGGTAGGTGACATAAAAAAAAAAAAAAAAAACCAATATAGTTGATTTGGAAAGTGAGCCAAATGGCAGAAATTTTCTGGTTTAGCTATTTTGACCGCGATTCTTCAATTCTGCCAAATATCCTGAGTGAATTGCAGGAGAATCAGTAGGGAATTTGACAGGAAAGTGAATAATCTAAGACCAGAGTGGGGCTTTGGGTGCATATTGCATGTGCGGAATAAAACCCCGCCCCCCTGCTGCAGTGCATGTGGTAAGGCCCCCAAATGGTCAGTCTACCCATGACCACAATCAATGCAGGGCAGACCTCAGACCAGAACCAATGCACAGCAGGCCTCACACCAGAACTAATGCAAGGTAGACCACAGACCAGAACCAATGCACGGCAGACTGCAGACCAAAACCTATGCACGGGAGACCGCAGACTGGAACCAATGCATGGCAGATCTCAGACCAGGACCAATGCATGGCAAAACTGAGACCAGCACCAATGCAAGGCAGACCGCAGACCAGAACCAATGCATGGCAAAGTTTAGACCAGCACCAATGTATGGCTGACTGCAGACCAGACCCAATGCATGGCAAACCTCAGACCAGCACTAATGCAAGGCAGACCAGCACCAATGCAAGGCAGACCGCAGACCAGCACCAATCTATGGCAGACTTGAGACCAGATTCAATACACGGCAGACAGCAGACTAGGCAGTTAGAATACCAAATACATCTCCAGGATCAGTCATCCCACACACATACAATCCGATCCCTGTGGAACATCACCTGCACACACGTTAATGGGCAGCTCTTTCCATGCCAGAACATGAGCGAACACTCACCTTCAGCAGGTCCAGTGGGTGGGTGTAGTAGGCTGTAGGTCCATGAAGTACCAGTGTGACACCCACCATTCCACCATCTCTTCTCACCTAGATCCGGAATGGCTGGACAGTCCAAAGGCCAGGGCCGAACGAGGGAGCCAGAGCCAATCAGCAAGCAGCGAGAAAAATGTACGTTCCCCTGTGTAGGCAAAAATGCATGCACCAGCCCTGTGGAGAATATGTGTTATGCATGGCTCCATGAATTGTTCACAGCGATATTTTCACTCGCCCACCATTTTTGGGCACAGTTGTCAGTATAAAGCTGTTGCTGAGAGCTGTCACTGTGTGTCCCCCGATGTATATATGTAGTGTGGTGCTGTGTCACCTGCACTCCTTACAGTGATTGGACCTGGATTAAAGGAGAACTATGAGGTGAGTGCTTTTCACTCACCTCATAGTTCTAGCCGACCTGTGACAATGAGACTGTCACAGGTCGGCTCAGTAGATCGGGAAGTGAGCGAACACATACTGGCGTTCGCTCACTATCGATCCTGCACGGCTCTCTGCCATGACAGGAGAGGGGCTGGATTCCCCCCTCCCCTGTCCGTTTCGCCATTCAGCGCTGGAGGAAATGGCGAAACGGACGGGGGAGGGGCGGGTACAGCTGGCTCTGCCTTTAGATAGGCATAATTGTCAGGATCCGCTTCAGCGGCGGCTTCTCAGCTTGCGGTTTACTGCGGCGTCTCAGTATACCGCAAGCTGTAGCTAGCGGTATACTGAGCTTAGGGTGACGGGAGGGCGCTAGTTTGTGTCCTCCCGTTACCCTAAGGAGAACTAAAGCCTTAATCCCCTAGTTCTCCTTTAATGATTGTGGCGCTCATAGTGATTGCACGGATAACAGAGTTATTCCAAAATCGTAGAAGATGGAGATCACCAGCACTCATTTGTCATATGACATACGTTAAGGCACGCATGATACATGCGCCCCTATGGGCATTGTACATACTACACATAGTGTGGATCTATGCATAACAAGGCAATTGGATAGGTAGTCTGCTTTTCTTGCATGCATGCATGCATGCTAAATGGCCATGCTGAAGAATGACATGATGGATTGTAAATAATTTGGTATATTTTACCATGATATGACATCTGTGGTCTTT